TGTGTGTGTGTTTCTCTCTCTCTTGTAGATTCTGTGGGAAGTCTACATTGACACTAATGTCACCTGAAAATAGAGATGGGTTTACATTTTCCTTCCCACTCTATAACTCTCGTTTGTTTTGGCTGCCTCACTGTTCTGAGTTGAGCTTCCAGTGCTGTGTTGAATAAGAGCAGTCTGAGCAGATATCGTTGTCTTTCCCTTTTCAGGAAGAAAACAAGTGTAAAATTTCTCACAATCCAGGAAGGAAACGAATATTTTCAAACTACTGTGGTAGCAATTAGACAATACTGCTTGATGTGATTGAATTATGGAATGAAATGATACATGTATAACTCCCAATGAAAATTTTTTAAAAGAATAAATAAAATGTCTGTAAAAATACTGTAGAGGATGAAAAGACATGCTTCAAGTTGAAATGAAAATATTTACAAACTACATAGTTAACAAAATAGAACAAAGAAACAAAGACAATCCAATTAGAAAATGAACAACATACATGAATATATATCACATTAACTATGATAAACAGATGAAAAATAAACACATGAAAAGATGTTCATCTTTACAGGTTTTAGAGAGATTAAATTGAAACTATTATGAAGTTTCACTATACACCTACCAAAATGGCTAATCTATAATGTAGTGGCAATATCAAATGCTGGTGAAAATTTCGAGAAATTGGATTATTCCATTGCTAGTGGGCATGTAAAACACACTGGAAAATAGTTTGGCAGTTTCTTTTTTTTAGAGGAACCCCCAAAACTAAACTGAAGTTACCATATACCAGGTGACAGAATTCTTAGACAATTATTCCAGAGACATGACAACTGAGTTGGCATAAATATTCTTAACACTTTTATTCAAAACAGCTCCAAACCAGAAATGGCCCAAATGTTTTAAGTAAATTAATGATTAAACAAACTGATACTCATCCATACTGTGGAATACAAACTGTCAATAAGAAGAAAGAAACAAACTACCACTATATGCAACAACTTGGAAGTACATCATTGAAATGATTCTCAGTGAAAATCGAAACCTAAGAACAAAGTAAGCTGTTGTCAAAAGATTAGATATTGTATGATTCCACCCATATAACCCTGAAATAACAAAATTATAGAGAAATCATAGATTGCCAGGATTAGGAATGGCAGAATGGGTATAACTCTAAAGATATAGTATGAGAGAAACTTGATTATGACTGTGGTTAAATTAATAATCAGATGTACTAGAGCCGCATAAAACTACACACACACACACAAATGATTGCATGTAAAACTCATGAAATCTGAAAAAAAATGTTTGATGACCTCTACCAATGCCAGCTTTCTGTTACTACATTCTATTATTGTTAGGAAGATGATGTCATTGGAGAAAACTAGGTGAAGAATACACGGAAAGTCCATGTATATTTTTCCCCTTATGTTTTTACAACTAAAACATAATTAACAATATAAATTATTTTTTAAATTACAGTTTTTAAAATAAAAGCTTGTATTTTATTGGGTTTTTATAACTTTGGGTTGGAGTTGACAAGCCTAAAAATATTATGTCATTGTGCTGCAGATGTTGGTATTTTGCTTACATCATAAATTATTATTGTCCCTGTGGAATTAGCTACCAAAATGTGTACATCGTGCTACAGTGATTACACTCTTGAATGCATGATTGCCATAAATATTTATACACATTTGTTCTTGTTTCTGATCTAACTTTGGAATATTAAAAGCTTTGTATCACACCAGCTCACCCATCATGCTAGAGGAGCGTCTTCATTGTGTAGATTGTTGCCCAAAGGTTCTACTTGAGTTGATAGGAAGTCTATCTGAGGAACCGCTGTGCTACTATCATTGATAGAGATGCCTTCTGTGTTTCAAACCTTTCCAGAATTACATTGCTGCTGTAAATTCTTTGTTTGGAGATCGTAGTGATATTGTTGGGGCAACAGTTGGTTTTGTTTTGTTTGTTTTTGAGAACATTTCTTATTATAAATGATTGCTTCCTGCTTTCTCCTGGAAACTGATTTAAACAAATCTTCCGTATCTGTTGGACTAGCTTTGAAATATACATTTTCTTGTGATTAAAAATGAAATCTTTCTGGTTAAATCTTGACATCTCTTTTATAGGAAAGAGATATAGAGTACTCATTTGGCAACATATGTGTTTTTCCCTTATGAATAATATATAGTTACTTTCTTCCTGTTGCAGTTCAACATCAAGAATATTGTGACCCAAATGAGAGAACATCGTTGTGGCATGATTCAAACAAAGGTGAGCTGTCACCACATAAACTGCAGTGATAAATACTAATAAGA